AAAAAAAGGTCTACGTAATTGTAACAAATGTAAACAAACATGGCCGCCATGGATTTTACTTAATTAGGTTTAGCCACACTTAAACAACTTTTAAATTGTTGATAATTCCAAAAATATTGCATGCAGATTTACTAAAGGCTTAAAAACCTTAACCGGAAGATAAGAAAAACATAATTAAATTATTTTCAAAGCAAAAAGTGCACAATTCACAAACATATAAGACTAAAGAAACTGAGATCACCGAGCCGGTTAACAAAGTGTATATATATATATATATATATATTATATTTTTGGTGCGGCCGATGCTATAAAATACGAGGTGCAATCTACTGTTATAGCAGTCCTATATACAAAATTCAACGTTCTGAGCCTACTCATTTTGCGTTTTCGGAGGTAGTACATACGGGCGTAGCAGACGCCACGAAGTTCTTTTTAGAATTCATTTTAAATCGTTTTATATTTTTTTGGGAAAAGAATCCTTATTCTTCTTCCGTAAGATATCAGCAAAAAACATCTTTAAATTGCTTCGATCACCGTCCAAATGGTATTTTGTTTAAATATGATCCTTGAATGTTCGCGATTACAGTACTTTCTTTTTACTTCGTACAAGGAAGTAATTAGGCTTAGACGCACCAACAACTTTTTAATTGCTAATAATTTTACAACTATTGCATGCACTAACTCATCCTAAACTCAACCAACAAACTCAACCAGAATATAGGACACTATTCAATCATTTTGAAGGCAAAAAATGCACAATTTACCAATATATAAGAATAAAATAAACAGAATAAATATATAAGAATAAAATATCATATAGGTTTGGTGCTGCCGATTTGCAACCGAAAAGGGAAGTGCACCACTCCGTAATATAGCAGTCCAATATAGAAAATATTAATGTTCTGAGCGTACTCGTTTTTGAGTTATGTGAGATACATATGTACGTACAAATGTCACGAAAAAATATCTTCTGAATCCATTTTAAATAAATTTTATAATCGATTTGGAGAAATCGAGTTCTTTATTCTGTCCTTACTTACAGATGTCACGCAGAAACGTCATTAAATTGCATTCGATAGCGGTTAAAATGGACATTTTCGTTGAAATATGAAACCCGGAACTTTTCGTGATTACAATACTTCCTTTACTACGCACGAGGGAGTAGAAAGCAGCCATAAAATCATGAATCAATAAAACTGTAGTGCATGAAAATTAAATAATTCAAATTGTAATCACGTTTTTTTCTAAATTTGTCACAACTGAGTTAGAAAAATAGAAAAACTATCGATAAATTTGTAATTTAAAATATTGATTACATCTATTGCGTCGCAACCAGTTTTTATTCTGTAGCCATTAAAATTTTGCAAACATTTCAGCTATCTGGTTCGTTTGATAATGCGTGATTCCTACTCACAACACGATCAAATCTATATCCTCAATTGTTCTATGTTGCAAAAGCAAATCGATGGATAAAAGTTGCCAATCAACGTTAGTCTTTTATTAATCGAACAATGGACATATGTAGAACTATTGCCTACTGAAATAAGTAGGAAAGGTGTAGAGATGACTTTGTATGTCCATAGTTAGACTCAAGCCACGTCTTCTTGATGGAGTTAGTGAAAACCAATGTCCTATTTACTGACGCAGGTGCTGTGTCTCTATTTGATGTCAACTTTTCAAGCAAAATGAAATACAACTAAATTCGCTTCAACCATTGAATTTCCGCCATGTGTCTTCCGTCAACTACAGAAGCGACATATGGAAAATGCATCCAATCAGCGAAGGGATACTATTTACACAGCAATAATTGAAATGTCTCAGTTAATACCTGTTCCTTTTTGACAATATCCAATAATCTTACATAAAAAGAATCGTTTACTCTCGTGTTGTTGTCAAACGCCTTAGATATTTGAAGCCAATTACTTTGCCCTCATACCTTGTAGGCAAATTGGCAGGAACATTTTAAAGCACTTAGCCTACGGAAAAGGAGCTGCAAATACTATTTTTAGAAATGAGTGTTTTAATGGGAATTTTCTGCCGGCTGTTGCTTTCCTCCAGTAAGTTTAAACACTCCGTTTTGTACAGATATGTTAAGATTATTTTTTAAAAATTATTTATGCATTTTGTTATGTAGTAAACAAGATATGCATTTCCGATGTTTGCCCAGTTAAATTGTAATTGAAAGCTATAGCAGTTTAATGAAAAAGGCGACTTCTTAAAATAAATTCAGAATTAATGTTTTAGGCTTAGCAATTATAAATTTAAATAAATCATTGAATGAGGTGCAGATATCAAACTATTGTTGACTTGGTGCCAAACCTATATTACAATTTTACATTCAGTTGCGACTCATTTGATTTAAAGCGATTCGAATTGTTATGACTTCAAGGGCAAATCTCGATAGTGCTTCTGTGGTTAACATAACATATGAAGAACCAGTAATAACCAGAGTTCAATATAGTTTACTTTCAAAATAGGATTTCAGTGGTAAAAGCATCCCAGTATATCTTCTCAATCTAATACAAAGAAGATAGGCATATCAGTTTAAATTTCAAGTTAGGGAAAATCCATATTTAGGTTACAACGTTGGTTGTATCGATAACAATAATAATAAAAAAGAAAATCTGAAAGGTTTCAGATTTTAAATTACGTTCAAAGGAGCGTTTTTTTAACATTTTTCGAGTTATCTTTATTCATTAAATATCATGTTCTTCGCATTTAAACCATGAAATTCAGTTCCACAGCAATATCGCAAAATGATTTAAAATTAAGCATATCTTTAGAATTTCCGATACACAGTCTTCCGCTCTGGAAATAGTTTTTTTTTTTTTCGCAACGTTGCCATGGCTCGCTTCGAAATCCTTGAGTTTGTTAATCAAAAATTCGTTAAAGTTTTACAAAATATGAAATCGATAATAAAGCAAATTCCAGCTTCCAATGCCCATGCGAATTAGGATTACATCAGCAAATGGATGACTTAGTACCTGTTTCCTTGCAATTACATTATGCAGATTCTTACTATGAATTTCTTTAAATATAATACAGGGTGATAATATTTGGTGACAACAGTTTGAAAAGTGAAACGGACATTCGGAGTGAATCGACGCAACATCGCAAAACGGAAACAGTAACTCCTCAGGGACAAAGCCCCTTTGAACTAATAATGCATTTCGAGGAAACCGGACACAGTCCTAACTTTGTGGAGGAAATGTTTCCTGCCAATATATATATAGAAGCATCATTTGGTTTCTCTGAATCAAATGTTATCTAACTATGAATTTGTCTGATTAAAAAAAGAATTTAATTTTTTAATTTCCTTCATGTCCTGACGTTTTACTCTTCTGCGTTTGTATCTCTTAACGTGCCGTCAGTTACATTCTTGAAATTGATGAAGGAATGTTAAGTAAATGAAAATATAAAAGTATTTTCATTTTTAGAAAACATATTATATATTCAATTCATATCTTTTGGTCGTGAATTAATTTTTTAATTTTTTTGGTGCTGACTCTAGTACTAAATTCAATTTTTCTGAACTTCTTCAACTCGTATTCTTATATTTTTTTATTTATCATCCATTATCCTGATTTATTACCCATAATCCTGATTTACCCTCCATTTGATTTCTGACTTTTGAACCATAATTTTTTGCATAATTAATTACATCATAATTTTTATAGCTCCAGCAACAACTTATTTCTTACGGAAACAAAAACAAATCCTTTTCGTGTCTTAGAAATAATACTTGCATAGCATTATATTTATATTTTCTTTTTTTAAATACCACTTTTCAAAAAAAAAAAATCATTGCCAACCAGCAGCAGAAAGATTTCTAAATTATGATATTGGTTTAGGAAAGTGGCTGTTGTCTTAAAATAATTTAATATCATTTCAAAATATCTTCAAAATTATAAAATTGCCACACACTGAAGAGTCATCAGTGATTAAAATATTCTTAGGAATACTATAAGATCATTGCTGGTTTTAAATCAGAAATAAGTATGTAACTGATTCATTAAACATTTATTCCATTAATCTATCACTAAACTTACGTCACCTGGTTTATGGTGATGTAGTTTGAACTGGTTTTGTAAATTGCTTTAGTTCATTTTAGCAGTGATTATGAAATATATAACAATATTGAACTGGTTTATGTTATTCGTTTTAAAATAAATCTAGTGATACGTGACATCATAGCAATAGTAACTTAAAATATTTTTTCAAAAAATTCTTTTTGATGTAAAATGGCGAAATGTAAAACCAAAGAAATTTAGCCGGTTATCATTTGTTCAGTTTAATAGAAGATAATTAAACGTTTTTTAATACTAAAGTTACCGCAAATTGCCAGTTAGCAAGCAAATCTTTATATGATTCCTATTCTTCGGAAACTGAAAAATAGTTTACTCGTATAATATCACACATATTGTGGTAATTTTGGTCACATTCTCGACAAACGTGCAAGACAGATATATTCCAAAAATCCGTAATAAAAGATCATTGCTATTCTGACTCGAAATAGTTTGAGTCCACGAATATATCATGGTCAACAGAAAAAGCGAAACATCTTCTCTTAACAAAGGAGACGTAGAAGCACGATATTTGCCTAGTTTTATTTTAGTTCTGATTCAGAGCATCTCGGGAAGTGGAATTGAATTTTCCCGAAGAACACCTCCGGAGATGAATTCTAAGAATCGCAATCCATTATTTCTCTACCAAAGGCATGTCAAAGGGGCTTTTGTCTTGACGGAATTTAAGTAGTTCCTGCCTTGAAAACAGTATATTTTGACTTATATCCAATATTATTTGATTTATATCCATATAATCTCTGGAATTTGAATCCGCGTCTAATGATAAAGTCACTGGCTCTGCTAATTAAAAAAATTGCTTTCGTGTTATTAATAGATTGTATAAAACTGTACACAGTCCAGATATTATTATTATAAATTTAGTGTCCTGAGATCGTAAATAACAAATAATTATGATTAAAATTGCACAGCATTTGTATCAGAATGAAACAGCTGAGAAGATTCTGTCGTGTACATGATAGAATTATTTACATTAAATTCTGTTGATTTGATCGAAATCTTAAATTTAAATTCATGCATATAAAAGGGACATAAGAATTTTAATTACCATGCATTCTTTAAAATCTTCATAAAAAATTCTTTATTCTCTAAAATCTTTATCTTCTAGTATATAGATTTTTTACGTGATTAATTTATTATTTGACTGAAAACGATATCATAATAAACTGGCAATATAAATATGAAATTATTGAGCAACCTTTTTGAGCTGGTTTTGGAGGCTATTACCAGCTGACGTACACAAGAGCCTGGGTTAGAATCTTGGAGAAGACATGGATGTTTGTAAATGTATAATGTCTTTGTGGCACTTGGAATTTGATGGTTCATATGACATTTAATTAGGTAGCATTCACCATAAATCTCGAAACATGCAATAAGGCGCTGGCAATTAACTTTTGCATACAAGCGCAAGTGAGGCGAAATACAGTTCATGTACCTTTAGGTACGCATATGAAGTTCCCAAACTTGGAAAAGCGTTCGAGCAGTGCACCTGATGAGATGTAAACATGAAAAAGCCATGTGACACTGTGGTAGTTCTGGGTCGCCGGCGGCTGTCACGTGAGCGGTCACCCAAGCTCAGTCCCCGGCAGCTACTTCTTGAGGTGCTGTAGCGACGAAACAGCAAATATAAAAGTTTAGTATTTTACACTTAATACATAGTTCATAGTCTATAAACCTGTTGGTATGAGTTTAAATAGGCAAATTATGAAGGAAACAAAGGGAACTGAATGCAGTATTTAAGAATTTCGATATAGCATTTATAGGTTTCGGATTGGCCAGTGCCTATCACGTGAGTAATGTCTTTGTGGCATGAGTGCACTCTATGGCAAGCCGAACGTCCTCTCGTGTGGTCTGGCGATAGAGCTGAGCTCAAAACTGGGATAGAAGTAAACGTCTAACCTCCTTGAGTCTCTGACAACCATTCTTCTACGAAATATGGATTCGATAACAAATAAATAATCAAATCTTTGAAACGTTCATTACTATGAAGACTGTTCGTAATTCAACAACTGTTAGTAAGAGTTCGAAATTCTAACTTGTTTTTTAAAAATAAAACTGTATTTTCGGTACATATAAATGTATATCCTTTTAAAATCTAATTAAATTTCCTTTTATTATTAATGATCTATAAAGATTGTTTTTAAATTTTTGGTGACTAATATTTAAACATATTGACTTCTACGTACTTAAAATTGACTTATTCCACTTACCTGTGAAAACTGTATTTTTATGTGAAATATTTTAATAGACGTATAGCTTGATTTATAGCAGTCTTATAGCTCTCTGTTAAGTTTGTACCTAATACTTTAACGATTTTTCAGGTGATCAGGAACACCATTTAATTTTGAAATCTTTAAATTGTTTGCGATTCATGAATTATTTTGACGCAATTCTAAGTTTACACAGGAATTAAATTTGTATTCCATAATATGAACCTCAAAACAACAAGCCTTACTTATAAAAATGATCTACTCTAAGATCTCTCCACTAAACGTACCATAATTTCTCCCTAGACATTCATATGTCATCTGGCATAGTGTTCCAAATCCTCATATTAGTGCTGAACTTCCTATAGATTGTGTTCCGCTTTTTAACTTCAGAAGACGCTTGGAAGTTTTCTTTCTATAAATGCTCATACATTAAAAATAGTTGCACTCAAAGTGATGCTTAATTAATTATTAAATATATACTCATACAGTACATGCGAAAATTGCAAATTTATAATGAAGGTTCTAGGACATCTAGAATATCTAGCAGAAGTGTTGGTGAATGCAGCTATTTGAATGAGAGCATAAAGTTGTCCCATGATATTTCTTCCTTATTTCCTTAAAAACATATTTCAAATTTAGAACAAGCAGAACTACATTATTCTTTGAGGACAAATTTCCCAACAAAAAGCACTTTTGTCAATGAAGATTTTTATTTAATTTTTAAATACTTATTTAGAGAGCAATATTTGATTTTCTTCTGATTTATCAATCATTTCTGCAGTAAATAAAGTATACCCTTAAAATTTTCTTGATCTACCTAGGTCTGTTTTTCTGCTTAGATCTACTTTCTGTGTAACTCCACAGTACGAATTCATGGTATATTTTAAAGTTTTACATAGAGTATATTTAAAACACATAAAAATAATTGATAAACTACGTTTACCTTAGTTTATCAATTCTGTGGTATTTCAGACTAATTTATATGCATAGCATTTTCTTATTTTTGAAACTTCTAGTCGTTACTTGAACTTGACTATATATTGTTACAACTGTGACTCTCTTCGAAATTATTAGTTTCATATAAATGTTTGAAAAACAAAATCTGATGTGTGCACCACATGACGTCCTTGTACAGAATATTAAATTATACGTAATTTTCCTGCATTTCGTTTAAACATATTGAATTAAAAGTTGACGAATTTTGAATTAAATCTACTTCGTCGATAGCGCATAAACCACAATAGAATTAAATGCACTCTTTAAAGTTTACTGTATTTATCGAGTCTGTACGATTTATCTGTACTCGGTGTGCACATTCATTTTATAACTCAGAGTTCGTCTAAAGAACTACCACAAGTTCTACTCAAATACTATAATAAATCTAAAACGATGTATAAAAGAAATTAAATAAAGAAAAAAAAAATCTTCTCAAATGATCAGCGCCTATTATAAAGAGAACGCCTAATCTTAATCATTTCACTCGCGGTTTACACGCGAATATTATTATTAATAGATAACCAGAGTAATATTGTATTAAATCTTGTAATTTAAATAAATAACCTTAATGTATATGTTAACGGCATGTTTGTAAGCAGGATCGAGAGCAGTAAGCTCTCTCCGAGAATGTATTCTTTTTTTTTTATGTTAGACACGTTTCTCTTCTGGTTTGTATGTCGCCATTTTGAGTGTAAAAAAAAAAAAAATATGTGTTCAATCATAGAATTGCTTATATTGCGAAAGAAGTATTACACGGCAAGTCAAAGACAAAATTTAAATATTTCATAAACATGAAAGATATAGAAAAACACAAAACACAGACAGTAAAACATTAAAAAAACATTTTACAAATTAAATTACAGTTTCTACGCAAAAACAAGCTAATAACTTAAATGATAATTCCAGAATGAATTAAGCGTAATTAATTTCGCAATAATAAAAATAGACGTTCTTTTGTTGTTACGAAGCATAGTTTCTCTAGATTGGCAACAAATCCACTATTCTGCTAGGTTTCAAATAGAAACAAATATGGCCGCTTAGGTAAACACAATTTAGGCTTAGCCGCACTTCAAAAACATTTAAACTGTTGATAATTCCACAATTATGCATGCAGGTTAACTAAACGCATAAAGCTCTTAACATGAAGATATGAAAAAAATTTTTAAAGCAAAAAATTAAAGCAAAAAATGCACAATTTACAAACATATAAGAACAAAGAAATTGAGCTCACTGAACCGAGTAACAGAGTCGATACGTATATGCATATATTTATATATTTTTGATCTGGCCGATTGCAACCAAACTGGGAAATGAACATCTGCATGTTGTAGCAGTCCTATGTACAAAATTTCAACGTTGTGGGACTACTCGTTTTTGTGTTATGCGAGATACATACATACATACACAAATACGTACATACAGACGCCACGAAAAAAATCTCTTCAGAATTCATTTTAAATCAGTTTTATAATTTTTTTTGGGAAAAAGAGTCCTTTATTATGTACGGATGTCATGCGAAAATATAGATAAATTGCATTCGCTAGCGGTCAAAATGAATATTTTCGTTCGAATGTTATACCCGAAATTTTTCATGATTACAATACTTCCTTTTTACTTCGTACAAGGAAGTAAAACACTCATATATTTGCTGTGATATAAGTGGTCTCTCAGAAAATTCTCTCCGATAAGTGTATATCAAGTTTCAACACGACACTGGGTGTTGAGATCTATATGGCTGTCTCTCTTTATCGTCGCATTTATACTCATGTGCTCTTCTATGTTAAACAAATAAGGCCTCATGTCATTATTAAGCATAGTGTAGTCTTATAAACATGCCTGAGGATAAAGTTCATTTACGACACTGTATTTTGTGCAAATTCCAACAAGAAAGTAATGCCACAGAAGCATATCGAAATGTATTGGAACTTTTTGGTGAAGATGCAGTTTTGGAAGAACGTCCACAAGATGGTGCGAAAAATTTAAAACAGGTAATTGTGACCTCATTGCATACTTTGGGCGGCTATTCTGATCTATGACGATACTGTCAAGACCGTGTTAGAGCAAAATCCTTTCTTGATACCATTCTAGACTGAAGCAAAGCCTAACTCAGCTCGATAAACCAATTTGAGCCATATTCGAAAACTAAGATTAGTCTATAAAATTCCAGATGTTATAATATTAAGAATAAAAACTTTCACAAACATGCTAAACGGTGCTACATTCACAGAAAACGACATTTTTTCACATACGTTTAGAAAAGCACCTGAAATTTTGAATGATTTATGTGCTCTGCGTCTTAATTCAACCATCCATCTACCTATCTACACCGTCTGTCAGAATAGGTAAATTTTTCGTTCTGGCATATACACATAACAGGGAATCATAACTGAATCTCAGTTTTATTTAAGCGTCGTTGATTGGTTAGGCTAGAGACTTTAGTGGCTTCGTCCGGAATGATGGGAGAAGAGGGGTGCCTTCTTGCAACATGTCAATGCACCTGCTCACATGGCTGAAGGTGTGGCGAAGTTTCTAGCGTAAACGCGTGTGCCAGTTCTCAAACACTCTCCATATTTAGCACCGAGTGACATTTTGTATACGCGAAAACCAAGCTACGCATGAAGGATCAAGGCTATGACGACGTAACTGACACCAACATTCCAGCCACAGGAAAGCATAATTATCCCAAACAAGGATATTCTGACATTTTCATATCATTGTATGAACGATCTGTCCGTTGCGTTCAAGTGTGTGTGTGTTTGGGGGGGGAGATTATGTAGGACATCTGAAGCATTATAATCTTTTCTTTACTTTGCGTTAATCCAGACTAAGACATTTTCGGACAGACGATGTATATGCAAGATTATCTGGTCGTCAATCAGCTTTTGCATTAAATCTGCACCCTTGCATATATAAATACTTTATACGCAAGAATTTTATGTAATACAAAAATATATATTAGCTTGGCAATACTTTTATGGTTAATTTTCAGATGGATGAAATATCATTTTTCAGATCCCAAACCGGAAATATACCTGCCAACGGGAAGCGATTGCCTACAAGAGCCACTAACCGTTACTGCCTCCGACTGCTGGAATCCCATTTGCGTCAAACTTGGTAAAATTTAGATTTTCTTATCAGCATTCTTTTAAAAGTAGTAATAAAGGCATTTGTCTTTATCTCTCAAGAGGAATAGTAAGATTATATATTTCAAGCAAACCACGAGAAGGATAACTCCCAGCCTTATGCCAATTACAGTAACTCACATTTGTTTTCGGACACTTGTAATTTGCCGCTTTATTTACAAATATCAGTTATTAAACATTAGCGAAAGGAATTTATTCGTCTTTTACGTATGTTATTACTGATAATCATTTCTAAAAATCTGTAGAGTCATTAGGATTTTTGGAAAAAGGGGAGCTGAGAAATGAGCAAGGCCCTCGCGAGACTCGAAACCTGGACCTTTCAAATATGTGTCAAGTCTGCTTCCATTTGCACCAAGAAGGCATGCGGAAAGGGCAGAGAAACTTATTGTTCCCGATTTTTGTCTTTTGGTGTTTACTTTTGTGGAAATGTTTTTATTTGCCCTTTCCCTTCACTTTTATATTTTTAATCATTATTAAGACATAATTTTTTTTCATTTAATTATTTTATATTTTACTTATTTTCTTCTGTTGAATGGCGGGGTCTGTTATGGCCATAGGACCAACTTGTTTGATTAGGTGGATGCGCCCACTTCTGATACCTTATATACTCCTCCTTTTAAAGGGTGTCTGGGGGATTAGGGGACCCGATCGCCAAATTCTGACGGTAATGAATTATCGCCCACCACATATTAGTTCGGGCGTCAAGAATTACATCCCGAACGAATGAGAAAATACTCCTCCTTTTAATACTCCTCCCGAAGGAATGCGGAAATACTTCTCCCGAAGGAATGCGGAAATACTCCTCCTTTTAAAGGGTGTCTGGGGGATTAGGGGACCCAATCGCCAAATTCTGACGGTAACGAATTATCGCCCACCACATATTAGTTCGGGCGTCAAGAATTACATCCCGAAGGAAAGCGGAAATGTGGGAGAAAATACCTTATAACATTTCTAGTTTAAAGAAAAGTTAGTCAATATGTCAAAAATCTGAAATTGAGCTTAAATAAGTATTCCGATCCTTTGAACAAACAGTTTATATTTAATACAAACAATGAAAATAACGAAACATTCAGTATTTCGATGGGTAACTCTTAGTTACATTTTACATTCTTCATGTACTTTGGTATGGATTCAGCTAACGGTTTTCGTGCAAGACCCAATGCAAAAATTGATATTGTAAAGCATTTAAGGAAATATTAAGTTTCCTTATGCTTTCTTATGTACTCAATCCATACATGCTCGTTAGGATTTAAGACCGAAGAATGTAAGGAGTTTTGATAACTTCAGGATAGCTGTATAAAAGCCATAAGCAAACTTGTACGGTCATATGTTCAAGACCTTTATCCTGATAGAGCTTGAATGCATTTTGCATTCCAAATTTTCCAGAAGATGCCTTCAAGTTTAAGACTATTTATACTGATCCATATCCATATACAAAAGCATATCCATAATACAAAGCTAAATAATACAAAGCTGAAACTGCTCCAAAACATAATGCCTTCAACCCCGTGTAGATAATAGGTTTTTTGGATTCTATACTTCTTTTGAATTTAACCACAGAGTATTTAGCCTATGGGACTCAAATATATAAAATTTTTCTCTCTGCAAATATAACATCGTTCCTTTACAATAATCTTTGCTTACGGTGGAATATGCAAATTACAGTTGAAGAAAAAAAATTTTTTTTGCTGATTAACCATTGCAGACATGTGTAAGTTGTTTCGCGGTTATTTTTTTTATTTCAGTGCGCCCTTCTGATTCCACTGCAAGTATAACGGTACTAACGTTCGAGTTCTGTTTGATATTTTTGTTGGCTAAATCTCCGGCTGTTTAGTCTTAGCTTGGAATGTAGGCCAGGCTTCAGTGCATTTTGAAGAGTTTCACGCTGTTGCCACCATAGACAGTTGAACGTTTTACATTAAGGATATTTTTGTATATTTTGAGTACCTTTAGCATCTTATAAATGGTCATTACATAACTTATAGTAAAATTTAATATTCGTTTTTGTCGTCTTTCCATGTTCACTTCAGATATGGAACAGATGCAGATTTTTAAATTTTTTGATACCCATGACCGCTATAAAAAAAAGAAAGGAAAAATTGACTTCATTTTTTTTAAAGTTATGATTCATGAAATTACTTCCTGTATATTTTGTTTATCTCCTAAATGAAGCTCATATGATAGATATTATATATAACATAGTAGCAATTTTCTCTTCTCCGTAACGCATTTCCATTACATCAAAACATTTTCAATTTCTTTAAAAGAAATCTGTTTATGACATCATAAGAAAAACCAATTCTCCGCAAAACGCTAATACGCTATTAATAGTCTAAAGGAATACTACAGCTTTTGAACTTCTGTTAGACGTGCCCTGTCATAGGAATTCAAATATAAAAGAATTTACTGGAATTTCTTATAATTTGTAATAGAGAAATTAATATACTACCATGATCTATATATATTATGATATTGATTTTTTTGCTAAACTTTATATCAATACGTAAATAGATGGGTTGGACAAAAATGTGGAAACACCTCGTAAAATGCATGTTTGAACTGAAATGTTTATTCTTGCAAAAGCTATTTGGCGCAGTGATGTTTGCTCACCACCTGTACAACATCATCAATACATTGCAAGTGTCATTCCTTACCCAGATAATGTTCTGTGCAGATGTGAGTGCATCACGTCGGAGCTAAATGAATAAGAAACGTGGGAAAATTGCTGAGGCTCGTTCCTGTCATGGTGCTTCCGTAAAAAGGGTAGATGAACTGTTTGTTTTAAAGGCACAATATCTAAGAGTTTTAACACTTACAGGAAAAACCGAAACCGCTAAATCACAGCTCGGACGAAAATGTGTGTTGAGTGATAGTGACATTTGATCATTGAAGAGGATTCTAATGAAATATAAGAGGACTAAATGAATGTCTACAAGAGAGGACATTTTTGGGCGAGCTGCAATTCAAAACCCATTCATTAGTGGTCAGTTATCAAAATGGCTGTCAGAAAAGAAAGTTGTGCCAAAATCATGAAACCTAGGCTGTAGAGCAATGGGAAAAACAGTCATTTGGTCGGATGGAGTCTTGCTTTACACAGTCTCTGACTTTTGAGCGAGTTTACATCTGTCTAGCGCCTTTCCGAGCTTATGATAGAGACTGTTTGCTGCCGATAGTGAAACATGTCAGGTATCATGTCTTGGGCAGCCATATCGGGGTATTCTATGGGACCCATCATTACGTGTAAAGCTACATTACTGCCAAGAATTATGTGTGGCTGATCACGTCCATCCCATGGTACAAACTGTGTTCCTCAGTGCTAATGCCGTATTCCAAGATGAAAGAGCTCCTGTTCACACAGCTCACATAGTCCAAGAATGGTTTTCTGAGCCATGAGGATAAACGTTCACATCTACCAAGGCCACCCCATTCACTAGATATCAATATTATTGAGCCATTTGGGAAAGAAACCTGCGTGAGCGCTGTCCACCGCCATCATCATTAACAGAACTTGCCAACGTTTTATAGGAGAATTGTACAAGATTCCCTTGCAAAGCATACAAGACCTCTATTTATCCATTCTGAGAAGACTGCAATTTGGTTTGAATGCTAACCTCTTTCCTATACCGTATTAGTCACAGCAATATATTTTATTTCGGTGTTTCCACATTTTTGTCCAACTCCTGCATGTCATCATACAGTTAAAAAATGACTGATATATTTCTTTCCAGATACAGAGGAATCTACTAATGAGTTGTTGGATGTATACCACATATTACCCCTTTTCAATATGTCATCAGATTCCTACACTTGCCTGACACCAGAATGTACCAAAGCAGGTTACATTTAGATTTTTCTTACAAGTCTTTTTTATGTCTTTACTTTATCTCTTATAAGTATGTTTATGAGAGATTAAAAACAAATCTTATGACACATAGCAAAAGCAGATAGAGCCCGTTGCATTTTTTCAATAGACATATTAACCGCGTAGAATAAAAGTGCAAAGCTTGTTAGTTGTAAATACCTGTAATTTTGTGTAACAACTCAAATGCTAATGTCTGCTTTTATGTACACTGTAGAACAGTTAAGTCTTGAGAAATAAAGCAGCATTCAGTGCGCTCAGATCTTCTCAAAATATTCTCTTCAAGCTGTCGAAAGTTTTAAATTTATTGTTATATTCAATATTATCTATAAGAATAAGTAACTGTTTTAACTGTTATTATTCGTTTTGAGAGTCAAGCAAAAGTAGCACACTTTTCTCAAACTAAGTGTAGCATTTACGACGAAATACCTTCCTTGCAAGTATTATTACAGGATAGTTACAGGCTGTTATAAGAGTTGCTGGTACTCTTAATGTTTTTCCCCCATGAAGCATGTTTCGGGGATAGTGAAAAAAAGTAGAATTGCAGTCAAATTTTACTTATTTAATCCGCGAAAATGTAGACACATAAATACAAGTAAAATAAAGCAAAAAATGAGAACTGATTTTTACTATTCGTTAATTGTGCTTTGACACAAAAACAAAACACTAGTATAGTCTTTGGAGAACTGTTTTTGAATTTTATACCAATTTTGAAGAAATCAGGAATTTTCCTTCTTCATATGTTTATTATCAACGCAATCAATAATAAATATCTATTTTGCATTAAGACCTAACTCTCACTGATATCACAGATCGCAACATGATTTGAATTTCTATGAATATCAGCGTAAGTCTTGCTCATTTTTCAAGCCTCTTAAACAGCTATTTGGTTTAAATTCACAAATATTTTAGATTTATCACGCAAGGAAATCCGAAAGTACATAATATTCGAGTTTCAAATATGTCATGCAATACTCCTAAAATTAACAGCCTGCGACTAATTTAGGTTAATATAACACGCCGAACAAATATTAATTTAGAAGACAAACAACGAAAATCAGCATTATATTTGCAAATTTTCGCAGGACTAGTTTCGATGGTTTTACCGAACCATCAACCTCAGCAGCCAAAGTGCAAATGAACGAGATAAGACGTAGTGATAAGATAGATAAAAATGGTTACCACTCCTTCTCAAGCATTTCGTTCCGGTGTTTTAGGACAAAAGTGAAATTATATACAATAATTTCAAATCCGGACAAGAAATATGTACTTTAATATCGGAAAGAACTAAAGGTAGAACTAAAGGTAATAGCTAAACATTGACGTTGAAAATGGAGAGGGAAGGAGCATTGAAATAAGAAAACTACTTTTAGTCGTTTCACAAAATGATTGGAATGTCATTTAGCCATATACTAACATGGTCGGGGATAAGCACGAGGTACAAAACGGACGCATGAAAGTTATTATTTTCCGTCCATACTCACAAAGATGAGTCATCGCCATAATTTTAAGATGTCGTTGCAATAAGTGAAGTAAAAGTGAGAATTAGAGTAATTCCGTACACCGAAAAACATTATCTGGGATGTTTAATGTAGCTATGAATTTGATCTTGAGCACGAAAAATATTCTTAAGAATTTGCAAACAATTTTATTTTATTGATTACTTTAAATTTTATAATATGGCCTATTGTTTTAAAGCATAATACTATACCTTAATACGCAATATACATGTATATGAAAAATATATACTATATAATATTTAATATATAGTATGTAGGAAAAAAAGAATGCAAAAACACTTTAACCCTTTATTTCCCCACAAGACTTTGAAGTCCCATTAATAAAATCGCTGAATTACGTTTTAACAGTACTTTTAAGACCCAATTTCAAAATTGTAAAATAAGCCAGTGGAAACACTTATACCATTTTTGTAAATTTAATGTAAGATGTTTCTCATGCATGAAGAAATGTAATAAAAAATCTGCAAACTCCTTAAAAAAAGTAGTTTGGTACATAAAGGGTTAAGTAAAACTTAAAAGTAGTAAAAAATCTTGTGTTTGGCTTTTTTTTGTTTTTTTTTGTTTCTGCTCCCGACGAAGAAGAAACTGCACCTATTCGCTCTCAAAATGGACGATAGAGTTTTAATTAAATTCTACGCAAAATACGAGGTAGCTGAAGTTTTGCCTAATTTTAAGACAACACTTAATATGGAGTATGAGCTTCCCTAGAAGCAATACAGCACATACAACGATATGTGATGCTGTTAATTATTGCTCTTGCAAAGAAGTTGCAACCATGGCAAGGGTCTGAAGTAGAGGACTGAGGCAGCTGTACGTCATAAGATTGAGGTCAGGTGAATGAGCTGGCCACTCCATGCACTGAATTTTTTGCTGCTAAAGACAATCATCTAGGATGCGAGCTGTCTGCAGTCCAGCGATGTCGTCCTGTAGCAGGACCACGTCATTAGAAGGACCCGTATTACCACGGCATAAGGGAGCACATAAATTTCAAGTGGAAAGGTAGGGAGGTCTGTGCGTTCAACCTAAAGAGATACCACCCCGGACACAGACACCACCTCCTACATATGCATCTCTTTCATGGATGTTTGATGGTGGATAACGGGCACCATGTTCTCTCCAAATCAATTAACGCCTACTATCGCCCTGGAGGCTAAATCTGCACCCTGTAAAGAATGATACACTGATCAGCCGTCTAGTGGACATATTGACCACTGATCAGCCGTCTAGTGGATATACTGACGTGCCAATCTCAAATTTTCCCTTCTATGATATGAAGTGAGCGGCACGCAAATGGCTGCTCGCCTCGCGTACAGACACCCTTCGTGAAGCCTTCAGCGCACGGTTGATGTTAACAACAACATGCCGGTAGCTTCAGCAAGGGAGGATCTGAGTTGAGTCGGAGTAATGTTTCAATTCCTTCGTGCGCATTGCAAAACATATCGGTCATTGGCACTGGTCGTGGCGGTTGGCCGTCCTTGGCTATACCTTTGGGATCCTGAATCTGTGGTTATAAAGTGTTGTCAAAGTTTATGAACCACAGAAGGATTGCCATTTAACCATCTGGTCACTTCTATCTGACTTTATGCTGCCTCTAGTCTCGCTATAGCTCTCTCTCGCAGTTCTTCTAATAAATGATTTCTGGAGGTCATTGCTACGGCATGGCTATTCCATATATATCTCAGTATCACAGCGAAATTCGTAGGCTTGCTCTCAAACATGCAATTTTATGCTCCTTGTAGATGACGTTTTCCGACTGCACCGCCACTAATTTGCAAATTGCAGTTATACTCAGAAACTTTTATTTGACAATATATTCAAATTTTATACGGATAGACTTATTTTTGAACGAGTTATCGCTACTAATTCAGAAGTCAAACAACATCGCTATTTTTGTTATGTTTCTTTCATTTTTAGAAACCAGTGTATATCTAACAAAACCTTTAGAATAAATTCCTATGACATGAATGTTATCTGCTTCATGTTTTCGGTTTGTGAAATTTACAATGGAATCTTCTTCATTTTTTATATTTCTAAACTTTATAATTTTAATTTTTTTAACATAAAACTTTAAATTGAATTTAGCATTGGTAACGTTAGATATGCGGCCAATAACGTGTACTTCTCTAATAACCTATCAGCTGCCAATATATTGTCCAGCTTGGATGTTACTACTCAGCCTTGCGATGACTTCTATCAATTCGTCTGTGGTGGTTGGTTAGACAAGCACTTTCTCTCCGAAGACAAAAGCGATGTTTCCGTTATTTCCAAACTTCGGCATGAACTAAACCTTAGAATCAAAAGTAAGTAAACAATTTAAATTTATTAATATCGATCTGATTTCAGAGACCCTCCATAAGCTTGAGGAGACTCAATCCATATTAGAAACTTGTAATAATCTTTAAAGAATTAAGAACTGTGGGATTTCGTTTATTAAAGAAATCGATATTTTGTAGAAAAAGAGGAATTATACAACAGAGAAACTTACTCGCATTTCATACATAACGTATTTCAAAATGCAGCAAATAACGAAAATGTATCACAAGCTCAGTAAAAACCGTTGTGAAACATTTTGTCTTTCGCTTTAGATATAGTTAGCTTTCCAACTTAACACGGAATTCTCCCTCTCTGCGAAGTAGGAAAGCTAATGTGTTAAACCGCAGTCCTACGGTATGACTCTAAAGCATCGCAAGCATAAGAAACAGGGTGGGGAAATTTTGTTCTTCAATAGAACCCCGAAGTTGAAAATTATGGTTGTTACTTCTTTTGCAGCGCCTATTGCTAAGAGGCCGCTTTGATAGCGGAAGGAAAATATGCTTTTCAGCGAAAATTGAAAGTACAATAGAGTCCCACAAACTCGTCATAATGTGGACTGAGAGACTGTCGAGTTTTACCGAATAAGGGGTGGGTTCTTCAGAATTTCTAATATTTAACTGTAAATTACTCTAGACATTTGTAGCGCAATATTGGACACGGAAACGTACAGCATACAATTAAGTTAATGTTGATTTTTATGTTAAGTTCTAGTACAATAGGAGTCATAAAAAGAACAATTACCCTAAGTTATTAAATACCCTAAGACAATTGAGTAAAAAACTTATGTACAAATATGAAGAAAAATTATTAGTAGTTCTTGATAGAAAAATATCGCGTAACGGTAGATTTTCTCTCACACTCATTACGTCGTCGTGCTGCTTCATCCTGTGGGCGAAGGAGGAATAAAATGTTCGTACGAAAGGCACTTTGTTCCTCCATGTAACGGAGCATCCCTTCAGCGGCCTTACCTATGGGCTTCAGTCCTTCACTATGGATCATCATTTTAGCTTTTCCGTTGCCTTCAAACTTTCTTTTTCTGATTCATCTTCATTTCTGTCCACATTATCTTTCATCAGTGCAACTATTTCTGCATACCCTAAACTTTCCCAGTTTTCATCTTGTCCTATCCGTTCTTTAATATCACCATCAAGAACTTCTTCACAGCCTGGAAGTTTCTTAAATAACTCAGCTATTTCACAATTTTCTGGCTTTTCTTTGCTTTCGTAAAATTAGATTCCTGAATGGTCCAACAACTTTCTTCAGGAACAAACGAGGCTTATCTGCTCGATTTCACTCCAGGAGTGAGCTATCCATTAAACGACATCCAATATATCTATTCTTTTCAGTTTCTCGATCATATTATACCCTTCCTCCATGGCTAGAACAAAAGATGAAAGAAGTTTACGTCTCTATATTTTCTTCAATGCCTCCAAAACGCCCTGGTACATCGGCTGACACACTGAAGTTTCGTTAGGAGTGAGAAGACTCGAATATCTTAGTCTAGTAATTTTGTTTCACCAGAAAGGGATTAGGCATTGTCTAGAACGAGAATCTTCTTCCTTGGTATATTTTTTTATTTTAAAAACGTTTCCACTGATGAAACTCGTCATTAAATTTTGCTCCATTCATCCATGCGTTTGACAGTTTACGGTACCAAACAGGGAGATCATAGTTGCGTTCGTTGCCAATAGTGTACTTTTTTAAACACCCGGGGATTTTTTGATTTGCCTATAAACTTATGGCTTATGGTTTGAGCTTATGGTTTCCTGTTGCATTTCTCAGGGCATGATTGTGACTCTTCTTTTGTAGCCAGTTGCTGATTTTTCTTTCCTGGATGTCAGCATTTTCGAAAGGTAGCATACGAAAACTCAGACCGGTCTGATCACAGTTATAAATTTCATCTCCAGATATAACGTCCTTTTCAATTAGTTTGCGGAAATTATCCTTGAATATTAAAACATTTTTCAAACTAGCAGATAGTCCCCCCCCACAAACGTTTAACTGCCTGATTGTACCGCTTTTTTCATCTGTCGAGCCAGCCAGCACTAGCAGTACATCTAGGCTCGCCTTCTTGAAACTCATCATAAAATTTTAGAGCTTTCTCTTGTAAAATTGGCCCTGAAATGGGTGTTCCCTTTTCACTTTACTGCCTGAACTACAAATAAAGCGCCTCGTTCACTTTTTAGTATTCACCACTTTTCATGCTTTTTCTTTCCTATAAACTATTCGTACGTACTCTTTTCACACACCAAGACCACCCTATCAAAATAGTCCGTCTAACACCTAAATCCATATTAGTTTTGTTTAAACTTTCCCCTTTGCCCAGTCTTCTTTAAAACACTAAACATATTGGCATCTAGTTTCATTTCCACTGTCCATTAATGTATCTAGTTTCCTTTTCATTGTCATGTTAGTTTGTTTTCTTTTCAAACACTAATTTAACTTCACAGAATATCAAAAGTTCACAAAAATATATAGCACTTATACGCATAGATGTAATCTGAGGAACGATATCCACAATTAACCGGTGTGAACCGGTGAAGTCTTCTAACGTTTCGCAACAATAGAAAGGTGTGTGGTGTATTTAATTATGGCAAAGCACACTAGGGCTATCTGCCTAAACAATAGAAAGGAATGTGAGCCAGTGGCTAGCCGCTAAGTGACTTTTTTTAGTATCTTCGAAAGAAGTGAAGATACAATAGAAAGGAATGTGAGCCAGTGGCTAGCCGCTAAGTGACTTTTTTAGTATCTTCGAAAGAAGTGAAGAGCTTTGCCAAGTATTACAACATCAGTTCCAAGAATGAATGGCACAATGCGGAAATGGTAAAACTCACAGAAAAACAACACTCAAATCTTTCAGCAGAATACGAAAGACATACGCATAAATAATAATTATATGTACTGTATGTAATATTTGCTATGTTTGGCTTAAAACGTTGTTGAATCATACGGAATGTCGAGATATCGGGAGTCTATTTTATGGGACCCTACTGCATTTGCATCTAACTCTCTGGCTAATCATATGTCAAGCGCTTGAAGACGACGAGTTAATCGGGCGAATCACTGAGTAGTGGTTTCCTCATCCCAAAGCAAGTCGCGAATCCGAGAAAAGTTTAAGAATTCGAATCAGGGAAATTAGGAAGAGAGTTAAGAAAACTGATTATGTAAACATTTAAAGGGGAGTAATGTTATACAAATAGCGCTCAGTTAAAAGACCTTAAAATCCTTACTAATTCTTGCTGAATGTAGCAGCCGTCATTCATTCAGTACCACTTAAAAAACAGCTCAAACTTTTGCACAATATTAGCATTTCGTTTAAAGGAATCATTGAGAATGATTAAAAATTGTATATCACTTTTCAGATTGCCATTGGCGTTGTTCTCTGCATACATGTTATTTCATGAAATTTTTTAGTAAAAATATCAGTTGACCTCAGTTCAAGAGATGTATATGACCCTTCATTTCAAAAGTGAAGGACGGCTGCTTCATTTCACAAGAGTATGAGAACGATAGCACCTTTTGTTCTTCGGTGGATAACATCTTTGTTATTGGTTATACTTAATACTAACAAAAGTCAGCATCATTTCGAATAATATTAAACGCAATCTTCCATCCATGCTTGAGTAGTATGACCAATATGGCCACCTGTGATCATAAGTGATTACGGGAAAACAGATTTCTAGCTTGAATTTCTGAAATCAGAACAAGGTTGAACGTACCATCTTGTAAAGTATTATCTTTCTGCTAGAATCCTCCAAGTTATAGATGGGGAAATCACGAAACCCGTAAGCAAATAGCTCCTTCACTTTCACATGTAGGATTTTAAGAGGAAAAAAAAAGATTTTTTAAGAAGATAATGAAAGTGGATAAATTAAAAAAATATAGAAAAAGTCAGTATGTTATTTCAGAAAAGAATTCAATTTTGTGTCAACATACCTATGTTAGAACATCGCTATATATATATATATATATATGTAATACGTATTCTAAATCGCATCTACGAAACATGAAAAACGCAAGTTAAATTTCGTCAATAAGTTAAGTAGAACGAGAGATACAGAACTGTCATTTTTTGTGAAGAGTGTACATGATGTATTTTGCTATTGAATTCCTTAGATCGATCCTTCAACATTTGATTATCGTTTCTAATGTTAATTATATTACTTGAAAACCAAAACGCAATAATGCTCTAGAGACATTAGATTATTTCGAAGCAGAAGACAAGAAAAATGGGCAATGCCTTCGCCCGGACTCGAAACACGGACCTCTCGAATACGCGCCGAGCGTGCTGACCTCTACACCACGAAAGCATGCTAAGAAGTTGAGAGATACTCCTTCTTTTAAAGGGCGACTGGGGATTAGGGGACCCAGTTGCCAAATCCTGGTGTTGGAGGATCATCTTCCACCATCTTTTTTAGTTCAGGCACCACTGTAGAGATATTAGGTATTTTTTGAAAGCATGTGAAAGGGAAAATGACCATTGTCCTCACCGGGATTCGAACCACGGACCTCTCGGTTATCGGCCGTTCGTGCTGACCACTAAACCTCGAAGGCATGCTAAGAAGTCTGGAGAAAGACCTTATAATGCACCCACAGTTACATTAATACCCTTTCTTTTTAATTTCCAGATCTCTTAGAAAGAGAAACAATAGAAAACGAACCTGATTTTATAACCATGATAAAAGGAATGTATGATTCCTGTATGTGTATTGGTAAGTCCATTTTTTTTATCATTTTATCAATTACTGGGGGAACTTGACCGTTATTTTCTGTTATCTATCAACATTTGAAACATAATGATGAAAGAATAAATTCACAAAGAATAAAGAATGTGTAAAGCATAAAACACCGAAAGTTTAAAATTTATCATATTTTAAAATAATGTATGATTGTCTTTGTATCATATTTACAATAAAATGCTAAACTTCTTCTCTTAAGAAAGCAGTACTGTGACAGGAAGAACTTCAACAACAGAATCGAAAAATATTTTAAGTAAAGAAGTCTTTATATTGCGTAAAGGGACTTTAACCCTTTGTGGCACAGTGTGTCCGGTCTGGACACACCTAAAAATGTTCTCCTGTACCCACAGAAAACTTGAATGAAAAAGGATTTATAGGTTACTATAGGTTACTCTGAACCTTTTTTATTTATAGTAGATGGCAGCAAACAAAAACCAGTCCATATATTTTAGCCATGTTTAGTTTTTTAAGACCCACATTTTTCAAAGAAATCTTCCAGATTTATTTTAGGGTATAAAAGGAATTCTTTGAAACAAAAGTTCTATGTTATATTTTTGGCTGTATGCTAATCTTCCTTATTCTATATTAGCTTTTAACTTTTTACCTTGAAATCTTGCTCTAAAATCAAACGGCGAACACTAGGTGTGCCCAAGACCGGGCTCACCGATAATCTGGGACAATTTAGAGTCTGTATTCTTTGTTTCTCCGCATCTCATCGGTTAGTTCACTTGACAACAATGCTCGTTTCAGCACTCTTTTAGAAGCTCTATTCAATCAGTGTGCCACTTTGGGTACATCCACAGAATTAAAACGATAAGTGCTATCTTTACAAAATTTTACTTGTGTACTCCTATAGGCCTAATTAGACTGCCTACCTTTTTTTTTTTTTTTTTTTTTTTATCAAACTCGACTTTAAAAGGTAGCGTGCCGGAAAGGGTTAATCGGCATTCTGATAAAGTAGGAAATTTTAAGCCACATAAGCTGTACAGTACTGAGTAGTAATGTTTGTCTGTTGGTTATGCTATGCCCTCCATTCTATGAGGTAATAAACAATAAAAAATATCCATTATCAAATTTAAATTTCCTATCTTGTTTATTGCTTTACGTCTTAATTTACAACTTTATAGATCAGTATTCATTCAATAGCTTAAGTATAGCGTATTCTAATCCTCGTAATTTCCAATAAACGAATCTCACTAAGCAGAACTTAGAAATTAGAATTCCTCTTCTATTTGATAAGCCGTATGATCATTTGAAGCTATCATGGCAATTACGCAAAAATTTCACGCGTGGCTAAAAGTCGTAGTGTAGAAAGTATTCTTATTTCATCAACATCTCATATCTTTGCAAAGTATTTTGTGTAATTTTACAGTTTGTTACCTTTTAAAAGGAACTATATTTCTCAAATGCCTTCGATACTTTAGGAATTATTTTTCTGCTACAAAAACGCTTTTTTTTGCTTTACAGAACACCAACTACTATAGAAGAAAACTTTTAGTTTACAGAACATTCGCTTCTGTGAAAACTAATTTTTTATTTCCAGAATTGAACAGCGTATTAAATAAAGCTACTTCAAAAATTAAAATAATAAGAAGAGGAATTTGAGAAGCTATACGCCAAAAATTAAAACTTATGTGTCCAAAATTATATCTTCATTCAGAAATGTATTTAAGAAAGCGACGAAGCAACAGAAAGCTGCCTTCGTGCTTTGAGAACTTCTACCCGAAATAATATCTAACCATTAATTTGAACTCTTAAGTGCGATCTTAACAAATGTTCGTTTCACATCTTCATTAATTAGAGTACTTGGTATGTTTATATCCAATTACCGACTTAATTCATTGCATCTGAAACAGAGAACGGACAGATAACATTCAAGACAGAAAATAACAAATAAAATGCGTGTATACAAGAAGTATTTACAAACGCGAAGTGAAATTAAATACGAGGGACAATTCGAAAACTATAACCTCCCTTCTGCTGTAAATAAAAATTCAACATAGATTCAAAATATATTTTATTTACATCTTTTAAAGGTACAGCTGTCGTCTATTTTTCAACCTACTCACCATATTTATTTAAGCACCTTTTCATAACGTTTTACGAACTTACCAATCTCTTCTGCATAAAACTCCGCCGCCTGAAACTTTAACTTGTGAACAGCTTGAGGTTCCTCATAGTAAGTGAAATGCTATGTCCCAAGCCACTTTTCATTGTAGGAAACCGATTGTAATTAGAAGGAAGATGTCTGAGCTGTAGGGGGGATGCTGATACTTGTCCCATTTGAATTGGTGCATAAGATCTTGCGTTCGATGAGCATTGTGAGATCGAGCGTTATCATGCAGTAACACAATCCTAGGTGTCCGCAGGTCGCGACATTTTTTCTGGGTGGCATTTTCAGTTTTCTCGAAGTGTTACAGTACACTTTAGAATTGATTGCCTTGCCACTTTCCATGAATTCGACGAGCAAGATTCCATTAGCATTCCAAAACGTGGTGACCATACCGTTCCTCGCTGACACATTTCGACAGGCGATCTTCTACTGGTTTGAAGAACCGGTATGGCCCCATCTCATTGGCTGTTGTTTTGTCTTAGGATTCACATGCGTTACTCAAGTCTCGTTACCAGTCACAGTTCTGTTGACAAGCCCTTCCCTTTCCTTATGGTACCCGGTAATAATGTCTAAGGCAGCGCCCCTTCCATTGGTTTTGTGGCTCACCGTGAAAATGTTTTGTACCCATCGAGCACAGAACTTCTGGTAGTCTAATTTTCCGATGACTACATCGTACAAAACAGTCCGAGAAATGATCGGATATTGTTGTGAAATTTCCGGGGCTGTGAATTGACGGATCTGGCGGATTTCGTTGTCAATCAATTTGTCATCACTCAGAAAGACCCCCACTCATTCCTTGGTTATTCATGAATGTTTGTTATTCATGAATGTTTCCTTTGAAAAATCTCATACACTGAGGCCTTACACATTCACTCATAATATTTGGCCCGTATACGACACACATGTCACGATGAATGACAGTTGCTGCTGACAGTTGTTTTGGCCAAAGAAATCCATTACTCCTCTTACTAGTATTTGGTGGAATTTTCAATAGCAATGCACATTTTGTGATGTTATAATCAGCACATGCTCAGCAGTAAGACACTCGCACTAGGGTAGCAGAGAGCTTACTGAAATAGAGATTGTTGGATGTAACAACGTTTGCTGTCCGCTCACAACTACTAGCGTTATGTCACAAAGGAGATTATTTTTCGAATTGTTTTTGTATTACACCAATTTATTCGTATATAATTTATGATATTTTCTTCCATCCCTACTCACTTAACAATTTATGCAAGCAGAACGCATCGAGCGGGATGGCAGCGAACCTCTGAAGGAGATTTTGAGAGATCTTGGAGGTTGGCCGGTGGTGGAAGGAAGTAACTGGAATGAAACCTCCTTCGATTGGATGGATACAGTGAGCTTGATGAGCAGAATGGGTTACAGTCACAACATTCTGATGAGGTTATCCGTTGGGAAGGACGACAGGAACAACACAGCTCTCATCATAAAGGTAATATGATGGGAACTTACATTGCCAAATTTATAACATCATACATTGCCAAATCTTGTTAACTATATAACTAACGTGGAGAACAAATTCATCACTGAGAAGAGAAAACAATGCCAAGAATAAATTATTAATGAGATTGAAGATAATAATAACATCAAATATAATGTTAGAATAGTTGATTGTAGAAAATGTCTGGACTTCAGAAAATCACTGTACATTTATCTGTTTTATTTGAATTCTAGCTATACGCGCCACAAGTGTTGGGATTGTTTTGTGGTTTTATAAATAGCTTTCGAAAACGAATAGTAGAATTATAATTTGTTTTTGCTCAGATAGATAAGCTGAATATTCTTAGTTCAAATTCAAGTAGACAAGCAAGTCAGAGTGAAGTCAAGTCTCATTTCGAAGATAAGACAAGTCTCATTTCGAAGTTTCGAAGCTAAGACAATTTATTTACATTTAATGTTTTTTCTTTTGATTAAACAGTATAAGATAACACTATAATACGGCACTATACTTGCCAAATGGCAAGTAAATAAATTTAGATTAATGTTTAAAACATTATCACTTGACAAAGTTGTTTGGTCAATAATTAGTCTTTAAATATTTATTAGCGGGGATGTAGGAATCGATGTGCATATATTTCTTAACTTATTCTACGCATCCAAAAATAACGTTTTGATTTACGTTTAATTTATAGAATCAGAATATATTTTTATTTGATATGAATAAAATGCTTTCTGTGTTTAGTTTTGATAAAATAAACAACAAGTTAATATTACTTGTTTAGTTTACTTCGTAAAAATTGATTCTTATATTTTATTTTATTTGAAATTGTTGTGTGGTTAGGAAGTGAAAAATTTTGTTTAGCATTGTTCAGAAAAATGTCTTTTTTCTTTTGGTTTTGAGTAAAAAAATGTTTGCTAAATATATAATTAATAGTCTTTAAAATACGATCCGATATCAAAATTTTCTGTTACACTTAAAACATTTCTCCTGCAGGAAAAAAAAACATTGATAGCTTAATGAACAAACTACAGTCTACCGGGTGCATCAGAAAAAATGTATACACACTTTGAACTCTCATAGAAAATTTATTTTCGAACCTACAATGTTAAATTTCTTGGAATAGTAAGATTGTACTCCAATTTGAAACGTAAGTGTACTTTCTGGTCAAATTGAATGTTCTAAATGGTGTTTAAAGTAAATGTTCAAACGGTAATCTTTAGCATCGATACATTTCTGAGTACGAATCACAACTGATGTCGTACTTTGCACCAAAATGTCCAATGGGATTTCTATGCACATCGCTTGAATTGTATCCCAAAGTGTGTCAATGTTACGTGGTTTACGACACATAACGATGGAGTTCGGTTCCAATTTTGTGAATGCCTTCAGGTGATGGTTACACGTGAGCCGGGATTTATGGGTAACATTATTTCGCCGGATGAAGCGCAATTTAATCTTAATAGAATTGTCAATAGGAATAATTATGTGAACTGGATTGAAGATAATCCTCACATTACTTTTAAAAAGGCTATGAATTTGCCTGGGTCGAAGGTGTCGTGTGGTTTGTCTCCTAGTATAATCATTGTATCTTTCCGTTTTGAATGTTATGTAATTGGAGCAAAAGACCTGACAATGCTTGCTAATTCCATTTTCCTGATATTCTGTAATGTGCAATAATGACATGTTTTATTACGAACTCTTGTTCGTAATAAAACACCTCTTCGCACTATCACAAGGATGTGCAAGAATACCTGGATCAAAATGTACCAGGCCAGTGGACAGGACGCAGAGGACCAATCGAGTTTCCTGCGCGCTCTCCAGACCTTACGCCGCTCGATTATTTTATGTGGCACAGTCAAAGATGAAGTGTACCGTCGTAAAGCAGATAACATTGACAGACTTGGGATAAGATTCAATCGATGTGCACAGAAATTCCATTGGACACTTTGGTGCGAAGTACGGCATCAGTCCTGATTCCTACTGAAAAATGAATCGATGTTTAAGACCGCCATTTGGAACATTTACTTAAACACAATTCGGAAATTCAGTTTGACCAGAAAGTATACTTATTTTTCATGTTTCACTATAGCCCTACGTTTTCCAGAAACATAATCTCCTCGGTTAAAAATTAAATTTTTTATGACAATTCAAACTGAGTATACATTTTTCTGACGCACCCTGTATAGTAAAGCGAAGAACAGAATACGGTTCAGTATCAAAATTTTCTGTTAAATTTAAATTATTTCTACTATAGGACAAAAATATTGACAGCTTAGTGAATAAACGTTGTAGTTTAAAAATGAATCGTTTAAATAACATTAAATGAATTTAATACGATGAATGAACTAGTATCCTTTTTCTTCAAATATTTCGATTTCTATTAAGATCCGTTGCAGAGGAAAGGTTTCAATCATCCGTTTAATTACGAAAACTGTGTACCCTAGATTGTATACTAGGTCAAGAAGGGTAAATACAAGCGATAAAGTGGCAATAGCAATAATTCAGGGAATTTATTAGAGTAAGTCTTCAAAAATGAAAGAGAGATATGATATTATTATTAAACATCGTGTAATTACTAGGAATTAATATATAGGAAATTACCAGACTAATTCTTTCTATATTAATTTACCTAGCGCATTAAGATCGTAGCCCCCTTGCATCTGGATGTGCTTAGGGAACCAATCTGAACAGTTTTCCGCATTATTCCGTTAAGAAGAATTATTGCTACATGACGCAGGTTGTTGCAAACTTTAAACAGTATAGGATAATTTATGAAAATTTGCAAGTCTAGGTAAATTTTGACTAAAAAAAAAATGAATTTTTGAAAGGTTTCTTACAGAAAACGACACACCTTACCTTTTAAAAGTAAATATAAAAATTGGGCTTATACAAGCATTTGTAGTTCGAAAACGCTTACCACGTATTTAACAAATACGTACAAATACACATAAATACATAATACATTACAAATACGTTCGTAACATGAACCCAAAATTGGGATTGAAGCACCTTATGTTATCAGAATTCTAAAAAAAATGTTTTTTATTCCATTTTCAAGCTGGACCAACCATCCTTAGGCATGCCAGATCGTAGGTTTCTGATGCAAGGATTGAATGATCCCGCGGTGGCTGCTTATTTCAAATTGATGGTAAAAGCAGCACGCAAGTTGGGTGCAAAAAAACGTTCCTCCAAAAAAGAACTAAAAGAAGCGTTAAAGTTCGAAATCACGCTCGCCAATGTAAGTGCAGTCGTATCTTCATTTTATATTAAATCCATTGATTTGTCTAATCCGATAACATTTTTTTATGAGATATGATGTCAGACAATAATATGCAGTCGGATATCAGACCTGACGTGATGGCTTGATGTCAGACTGTAATATGTCAGACCGTAATATGATTTAATGTATATCATGATATTATATCAGCGAAATTTCATCATACAAGCAGCAATTAATAAGACAACATATACACTGCGAAAAAAGCAATTCGAACAGTTCTATATCTCCCGTTCTACTACTGGGCCGATTGATGAAATTCAAATTGCGTTCTTCATGTCTCCAAAGGGTGACTTAAGATATAGATTATATTTATGTATAGCATTGTATATTAACACAAAATCGGACTTTTTCTAAGATGACATGCCAATGTTTTCCCATATATCGATTCTACGACACAAATTACGCCTGAATTAAAAACTGTAAACTTTGGTGCGAAATTTAAGGAGAGATTCAAGCATTTATCTTCACGCATTTTTTTTTTTTTTTTTTTCAGTTTGCGCAGAGGATAATTCACTCGGCGAACTTCCTAATTTATAGGCTTTTGGTTCAGTTGGAAAAATATAATGAACACGAAGAACAGTTTGATTCGTTCCTAGAGAGATTCGAAAGTTATTTAGACATACAAAATGTTTCACAGGATAAGCGTGGGAAAGTATTGATTTCTAGTTTGTCCGGAAAAGTGTATAGTCTCTTAACAAACTTGCTAGCTTCTGATAATCTTTCCGATAAGGATTATGATTTGTTAAAACAACATTAAGAAATCATTTAAATCCTAAGCCACTTATAATTCCTACCGGACATGTATTTCTAAATCGAAAGCAGTACGAGGGGGAAACAATTAGTACAGTGTCTCACAAAAGTGATGGGACACTTGTGCTTTACAAAAGGAAACTGTAATAAAATAAATTAAAAAAACATGTAAAAATTTTTTGTGGGTGTGTTTCATACTTAAATTTAGTAACAATTATTACATAACATACATTTTCTCAAAATATTAAAATAATAATTTAATAAAAATTCAGTTGTTTAGAACGGAGCAAAAAATGGCTCACATAAGTGATGGGACACCATTAGATACTACTACATACTACAATAAAAAATATTTTTTTGGGTTTTTATTTTTAATCAAAAGCAATTAGCAATAATTTATAAAATCGTCTGCAGTCTTTCTCTCCAGTTTGTTTTTGAATTTTTGTGTTTATTAGCTCTGTGCAGCCATGAATGCTAAGCGAAAAGAAACTTTGCCTGAAATTCGAAAATTAGTTACTAATTTGCATAATGAACGTGAAAAATCTATTAGAAAAACTGCTGAAACAGTTAACATGAGTCATTCAACAGTTTTCAATATAATTAAACGATATAAAAAGAATCATATGATTCAGGATAAAAGAAGACCTGGCCGACCATCAAAGCTATCCAGTGGAATAAAGCGAATTATTGTTCAAAGTATTAAAAAAAAATCTAAGAAATGAGTGCTCCTAAAGTTGCTAAAATTCTTCGTAAGTGAAAAGAATAGAAATCTCTGACTGGTTTTCGCAAAATCCAACATAAATAAGAACTCTGATTACTGGAATGAAGTTATACTTGCTGATGAGAGTAAATTTAATATATTTGGTTCTGACGGTAGAATCTTGGTGTAGAGAAAACCCAGGAAAGAATTTCGCAAACAGAACTTGGTGCCAACAGTAAAACATGGTGGAGAAGGAGTTATGGTATGGGGGTGTATGTCGTCCGCTGGAGTTGGTAATCTTGTTTTTATTGACAGTATAATGGATCAATACAAGTATATTGACATTTTAAATCAAAATTTGAAATCTTCAGCACGAAAATTGACCCTTCATAACGATTTTAAATTCTACCAGGACAATGAACCCAAGCACACTGCTTTGAAAGTTAGATTCTGGCTGCTGTATAACTGTCCTGAAATAATAAAAAAACACCACCACAATCTCCAGACTTAAATCCCATAGAGAATATTTGGCAAGAATTGGAATCAAGAATTCGCAAACATACCATTTCTTCAAAAACAACATTTAAAATCATTGCTTCAAGAAGAATGGGGTAAAATCACTCCAGAAATCACAAAAAAAATTAATCGAATCGATCCCAAGATGATTAAATCACGTTTTAAAAGTAAAAGGAAATCCAACAAAATATTAAAACATTTTAAGAAGTAAAATTTTTGGATAAATATTTGATGGAAAAGTAAGTGTCCCATCACTCATGTATGTGAGCCATTTTTTGCTCCGTTCTAAACAATTATATTTTTATTAAATTACTATTTTAATATTTTGAGAAAATGTATGTTATGTAATAATTGTTACTAAATTTAAGTATGAACACACCCACAAAAAATTTTTACATGTTTTTTTAATTTATTTTACTACAGTTTCCTTTCGTAAAGCACAAGTGTCCCATCACTTTTGTGAGACACTGTATGTATATGGCAGAGTTAACCTTCCAGCACGCTCGCTTAAAAATTTTACATGAGCACAGGCGCGTCGAATTTTTTACGACGTCCGTTACCTTTTTTGGCACGAAAAACGACAGAAATGAGTGAATATTGATAATAAATTTGTTAAGAAATAAAATATTAATCTTATTATTGCAAAATACAAATGATATCACATTCAAATATAAGTATATTATTTTTAAGTTCTTATGTTAGTGAGATGGGAATGCAGTGCTGTATTTCATTATAGAAAATTTTAAATTTATTATTTAATAATTATATCTTTAAATTCAAAGCTAATTTTAATATTCATCAAAGACAAGTATAGACAATAAAAAAAGAAAACACCTTGTTAGGAAAAAAAGTAAGTTTAGCATTACTTACTTCTGCAAGGAAATTTATTTCTTACTGGTTACAAAAACGCACTTTGAACTAACTTTAATGTTTTTAATTATTTCTAAAAAATACAAACAAAAGAAAATAAGGAATGGAAATCGCTATTATTCTCCCATCCAAAGATTTCTATGTCTTCTTTTCTTCATCAGATGCTTCTTGAAGAATCCGAGCAAAATCAGCTGGTTGCACATATATTTTTGCCATGAAAACCGATATAAAATTTACAGAGCCAAATGTATTCAAATTAAAATAATACACGGCAATTATTAACACAAAATTACAAAATATTTAAGAAAAATAATAGTTTCCGAATTTTAAAACACGACCACGCGCGTGTCGTAAATATTATGAAAAAACGGTCACGTAGCACAAAAGTCCAGTTAAAAAAAATCAAATGATTTCCTGTTGGCACATTCCATGATGTGGGGAAGGGTAGCAAGGAGGAATAGAAATCAACTTCAGACGTCTCAGCTTCGATATACGAAAAATGTGCATTAAAAACTGAATTTGTCGTAAATTTTGCGCATACGCGCGTGCTGGGCGGTTAAGGTTCCTTGCCATACCGTGTGCTTACGACCAGAACATGTTAAATACGATGTTGCGGGATGTATTTGTTAGTGAGCTTAGAGATAGGGCTATTCTGTATAGAATTTTTGAGCAAGATAATATCAGTTTAGATGACACTTTAAAAATAGCTTTTGCAATGGAAAAAGCGTTAAAAGATGCAAATAAAATAATTGGGAAACCATGAAACCATGGAAGTGACTTCTAAAGTAAACTAATGAGCTTTAGCTGCAAAATCCGCCAACGGGATATTTCATGAAAAGGGAAGACAAGATTTCATATTTTGAAGAAGTTCTTCAGAGTATTGGCTATGCCCTCATATTCTTTCTAAACTCCGTTAATGAGATATTGAAATAATCTTGCATATTACCGTAATTTTAAATATTTCGCACATAAAATTAGAATAAAATTTTCTCGTCGATTGCAAATACGTGTCAAATTTCTCACGAAAAAACATAATTTGACAGTTGATTCTCACAAACACTATTGCAAACACCCAATGTGACAAGCCCTTCCCGTGGATGCCACAACATTGTGAAACTAGTAAATCCGCTATTGCAAAGATCATCTGATAAGTCATTTATGGAATAGAAATTAATATCAAGAATGGTAATTATGCTTAAAAGAGAACTGTTTAGAGAAGTAAAAGCTTTGATGATAAACAAGAAATAGAAAACATGGCACCCATTATCAACCCCATCATCAATGTCTTGAATGGCGATATTTATATAAATTAAAATCCTTATGTTAGTTACTGATGTAACTGGCAGTTTTAACGTGAGTTTTTCAGTTTCTGTCTAAATGATTTAACATTTGTGCCTGCGAAGTCAAAATATGAAAGGTGAGATTTTTAAATGGTAAAACTACAACATATCTATTTTAATGAGAATGATTCGTTGATAATAAAATGTGCTCAAACGCGACACAGCATTCATTGGGCAAGCCAGATTATTCTTAAAAGAACAAGGCCCACGAAATTCATCGCGGCAAGGAGTGCAAGATTGCGCCGGTCGTTGGCAACAGCCTTGGGCACCACACAGGTGACAGTACGACTTCGCTCAGTTCAACCCCCCCCCCCCAATTTTGATGGACAGCACCCCGGGGGAGAGTGTCGGATGTAACGGTCTTCCACTCCTCTTCCCCTACAATCAACCTCTCTAGAGGATTTTCGGCTAGCTGCAAATTTAAATTTCCCCTAAGCACTATGGGGATTATATATTTACAAACATGCCTTCTCCGGTATTCGAACCCTGGCAGTCAGCAATCATACAGTAGTCAGAGTATATAGTCATTAGTTTTTTGGAAGCAGGAGACCTGAAAAATGAGCAATGTCCTTGCCGGGACTCGAACCTGGACCTCTGGAATAAGCACCGAGTGTGCGACCGTTGCACCACCTAGGCATGCAGAAAGGAGGGAGAATATACCTTATAGGCGTCGCTAACCACTATCCGGGTTGGGCAGTAAAGAGAAGGGGTTTAATATTAGGTTTAATTAATGCAAAAGCTTATATATATATGCTTATAGTATAGGAATTTATATTTAGAAAATAAGACTGAAAAAACAGAATAATGTTTCACATATAAAAATAATCTTTTCGAGAATTAACGAAAATTTTATTTAGAATGCCGCTGGTTATCTGGTGAATGATATGTTAATTAACACGTATTTGTATTGATTTTATACAGACTGTCAGAATGTTTCCTTCAGAATAGTTTTGTTTTAACTAAGGCAGCAATTTTTTGTGTCGAAAACGATTTATGATTTATCATTTGAGTAAAATTTACGATTCTTCGTGTTTTCAATGTGTTATGTAGCAAAATTCCAGAATTATAATTAATTGATATCTAAGACATATTTTTTTTTTAAATTTTTGTATTTTATGTAGTTTTCTTTGCCACGAGAAGAAAGACGGAACTTTACTAGCATGTATAACAAATACACGGTTAAGAAGCTTATAGATGATTTACCTCAGGTAAGTTGTAAATTTATAAAACTATCTTGTAATGTCAAATAAAAAAATATTACTTAACTTCATACAAACATACTGGTAGAAATAAATAAAAATATTTGGGTATTAAAAATATCATTGCTTTTTTAAAACTTATTTATTGCTCACAGATGGGAGTCGGTTTTTGAACTTTAAGTACAGAAATGAATCAAAATTATAGTTCCGTTTATGTATGTTATTACGAACAATACCCTGAACCTAAATGAACTAGTGCAGGGTTTCTTAAACTATGGGTCGCGACCCCCAGAGGGGTCAAGGGACCTGCAGCAGGGGGTCGCCAAAACTTTAAGCAGTTTTGATATTTATTTAACTTATTATAATAATTTTACAATTACCAAATATACTTGTATTTACACAGTGTATCTGAAAACAGATAGAGATAAGACAATGCAGACAAAGAAAAAAACGAAAACGTTTCGCCGCATTCTTTTTATAATTTAAACTTTCATTTTCCTTGCTGTCACTTGCAAAGAAGCACTTGCAAAGCTGCGTACTTATTTAAAGTTTTCACATTGTTCTATGTCTTAAAGTTAGTAACCTAAAACTGCAATAGTATATTACAGTACAAGTGAAAACATTGACAGTTTCACTCACGCATGTGTTGGATTTGCGCAAAACTTATGGGGCCCCACAAAGTTTTTGTAAATATTATGGGGCCCTGGGGGTCGCGAAAAGATCTCAGTGATAAAAAAGGGTCGCGACTGAAAAAAGGTTTAAGAAACCCAGACTAGAGTATACACTGATGGCTCTAAAATACAAGACAACATTTGGGCTGGTGTATATAGTAATAGTTTTTACCAATGTACTCCTGTGGGACATTTCATTTGGAATTTTGATGCAGATATCCTTTCAGTCTCATTGGTTCTGGAAACCCCTTAAGATAAAGATCGGTTGTTTCTCCAAAGCAGTTATTCTAGTCGATTCCAAAGCAGCCATCCAAGCTGTAGTTATAAATCATGACACAGGTACCCAGATTATCTCAGAAATAAGACAAACCATGAGGTTTCTTTATAAGCACAACAAGACAATCGTTTTTCAATGCATCCCTTCACATGTAGGGATCGACGGTAACGAAAAGGCAGACTCACTAGCCAAGAGAGGAACACTTGCGCTACAAGACAGCAAACCACATCATCCAGAGTCACTTGAAAAGCATATTTTTGAAAAATTAAAGGATACTCTTAAATCTGACCAGACTTCGAACGCAACAGGAAAATCCTGGGCTAACATTCAAGACACATGGAAAACGTTTTGTCAAAATACCCGCAAAGAGGCTGTGGCAAACTTAAGACTGCAAATAGGTCACGATTGCATGGCACGTCATCTTAAAAAAATTGGCATCCTTTCGTCTGGTATATGCCAAATTTGCAATTGAAGCATCTTCTTATATGCCCAGAACTAGGTAAAGAGTCTCAGAAACTTGGTGAGATATGTAAAGTGTATTAGAATGCCAGAGCTTTCATGAACTCCTTGTAAAGACTACATCTCTTATGTTCCTTTCCTTGTTGTTTAAATTTTTAACTTTTTACTTTTGTCCTCATGTTCATTTATTCTGATACTTACTGTATAAATACTTTTTTTATTATTTACCATTGTTCATGTGTGATACTTGAGCTGTTTTATATGTTTGGATTGATATTTCCTGTAAAGCCATAATTAACAACATAGTTCCGTTGGGGAAGATTTCAGTGTTACAACATTCTAGTTTTAGGTTAATTTTTAATGGCGACAATGGCATCGATGTTGCAAAAAATTACATTACATATTGCTCTAACTTAGAAACAATTCTTAAAGACAGCGCTACCATCTACTATACCTCCTGCGTCTCAGCATCTATTCTCCTTTTTTGCATATCCGTTAGACTAATCTTATTTTGCATTATTATGATGACTTGTAATAGTAATTTTTTCCATCGTTTCAGAATAAATATACTTTTATACGAAGCCCGGCTAATTCATAGCCCAGGTAATTCGACTCAGGTGTTGGCCGCAAAAGCAACTCCTGATTAAACGTTAGTTTCAAACATTTCATTTCTCATAGCTATCAGAAATTTATCATTGCTGATTTCTAATAATTTTTATATAGCTTTATTGTTTCTCAGTTCTATAGTTTTGTTTAGCATTTATGGTAAAAACATTTTCCTTACCAGTTAAAATAAAACGCCTTTTTTTACCTCCTCGATAGATTCGCTGGCTTAAATATTTCAATGGACTGCTGACAGATAATATCACTGAAACTGAAACTTTGATTGTTGTTGCTCCAGCGTTCGTGGAGAGGTTCGCAGACTTCATCAATAAAACAAATAAGAGGTAAGAGCAAATTCATAGAGCCTTTTGTTGTTATTTGTAGGTGTTGAGATTGGTTACATAGTAGGAAACCTGTTAGCTCACAAAAAGGAGAATATTGCATATATATAGGTAAAATAAAAGGTTTCAATGGATAGTTTCTCTGAACTTATCAGGAAAGATCAAAAAAGGTGTAGGTCAAAGTATTACATATGATAAAACCATAAGATGAATAACAGATGATAATTTGACAATGATAACCGCTACATCATATCAATCTGATTAACTTGGCATGCCATTCGTCTAATAGTTCGACTAGGTGTCAATGCATCGTAGAGACATTAGTTGGAAGCAGGAGACTTGAAAATTGAGCAACGCTATTCGCCGGGAATCGAAGCTCGGACCTCTGGAATGCGCGCCCAGCATGCAGACCACCACACCAAGAAGGCATTATAGGAAGGCGGTAGAAATGCCTTATATACTCCTCCTTTTAAAGAGCGACTGGCGGTTTTTTAGGGGACCCAATCGCCAAATCCTGGGTGTGGAGAATCATCATCCACCATCCTTTGTTTAGTTCGGGCGCCACTGTAGAGACATTAGGTATTTTTCGGAAGCAGGGGACTTGAAAAATGAGCAACGCCTTCTCCAGGAATCGAACCGTGGACCTCTGGAATGGGCACCCAGTGTACAGACCACTACACCACGAAGGCACGCTTAGAAGGCGGGAGAAATACCTTATAGCATTATTTCAAAACAGATACAGTAGAGTCACTCAAACTCGACATAATGTGGACTGAGAGACTGTCAAGTTTCCGAAAATGTTGAGTTTTATGGAATAAATGAAGGGTTTTTCAGAACTTTTATTTAACCCTTTGATGAGCGCGATATTATTTTTATAATGTTTTAACTAAAAAAACGCTAGAAATCGAATATTAGGATCCTAGAGATAAATAATATATGAATTAAAAAAATCTACTCTTGCTCATTGATCTGTGGGGGGTGGTTGCACTGTTTCTTTTCTTTCCGAAGGACATTTTCACTTCACAGAATATCAAAAGTTCCCAAAATATATAACTTTTATAGGCATGGATGTGAACTGAGGAACGATACCTGCAATGAACTGGTTGAGTTTAGTTTGCAAACTTCAGACAATTCTCCTAATGTTTCGCAATGTGAGCCAGCGGTCAGCCGCTACCTGAAGACTTCTTCGTATTCTCGAAAGAAGCAAACAGCGTTGCCAAGTATTACAAAATATCTTGAAATTTGTTAGGCAGTTTCAAGAACTAAAATGTCAAAACGGCAAAAATTACACAAAAAGAACTCTGAAATCCTTGAATAGAACAGAAAGATATATACCTAAATAATAATTATATGTATTGTATGTAAAATGTGCTGTGTTTAGACTAGAGATATCTTAAAAAAGTTCCTAAAAAGTTGTCGAGTTATATGGAATGTCGAGATATCGAGAGTCGAGTTTGCGGGATTCTTATTCTTGCTTCCGATAATGTCTTCGACAATTCCATTTTATACCAGGATTCCGTGCATCGTTGCAACCACGCCAGTAAGAACATATGTGTCCCAGCCTTTGGCTGCTGATATAGGCTACAAGGACAAAAACCCGGATGACACACACAGCCTTAATTAAAAACGGGATTATATAACCTTGCAATTATTATCATCTTCAGCAACAGATGCAAAGGGAAAACTAAATTTCCGAAAACTTAAAATAAAAAGGAAACTTTAAAGTTGATTTCTATTCATTTGTCATGTAAAAACTATTTAAAAAATGAAACTGCATAATAGCCTTTTTTTTTCTTTGTTTATTTAGAGCGAAATTATAACATTAATGCAAACATGTCATAAGTTTTCTAAGCAAAGCACTTTTTTATTATTAGTTTTTCAATCACAAAAGTTTAGACACTTGAAAGTTACGAAAAACTCCCAAAAAAATAAAATCTAAATCTTTAATTTAAGTTTAGAATTAGATAAACCTAATACGACTGAATGAATGCACGCAACAAAACTCTAAATTAAAATAAAAATATAAATATACCCTGATGTCAGTTTTGCATGAAAACATGTGTATGTCTTTTTATATTACACTAACAGAAACTCATTAATTTTAAATTTTAATGTCACATGGAAACGGAAAACGTTCAGAAATTTTTAACTCATTAATAAAATTAAAGTTTATCACAACTTAAAAGTTACTTAATGTTTATCGTGACTTAAGGAATCTTCAAGAAGGTATTTCTGACGATCGCAATGTCTGGTACATCTAACACGATTTTCAATTACAACAGCAGATTATTTTCTCTTTCATTTAGGACTCTAGAAGAAATGCAATACATTTATATAGTTTAAAAAGGCATTCCTCATTTGACAATATCAAAACAACGTAAGAGTCTCGTTTCTTAGGTAGCGCGAACTACGAGGCATGAAAGACTATTTGAGAAATTATTCTCATGCTTTATTGACGGGAAGAAATCAAAAGAAGGGGGTAAAAACCTTTTATTAATTCAATACAATTTCACAGATGGCCCCACTTGGGCGTATACAAAGCTATTTCTTATGGCTTAATTCGAAACAGGTAACGATGAATTTAAAAGAAAAGGCAATAAGTTAGCTTAACGGCTCTCAAGATAATTTAACGCGCAAGAAGGTTCTAACGCGTACAAGTCGGCAAAAACAAGTCCCGCGGCTAGAAGCGCTCAACGCCACAGAAATCTAATCGCTGATAACTCAAGATAGCACTGTAGCCTTCAAACAGGCAAAACACATTCTCTAAAATCAACTTCTAAATCCTTCCCTTAACTATTTGATTACGAATTAAAAAAATATCCTGTTTTATATCCAAGTGAACAAAGTATGTCATAAATAAATTTAGCATTTTGGATATTTTTAGTCCAAAGGGGCTTTGTCCCTAAAGAACTACCGTTTTAGTTTTGCGATTTTGCCCCGAATCACTATAAAAGGCGTATCACTTTTCAAATTGTTTCCACCAAATGTTAGAGTTCTGCATTACATTGGAAGAAATTAAATAATGAAGAATCTGAATAAATCTATGTATGTTTCTCACATTGTGATGATACAAAGTGCCTAGAGCCATCCAATTTTGAATGAGCAAGCACAAATTTGAAATTCGGAATTTGTTTTATTATCGATTTCATATTTCATAATTTGTAAAACTTTAACGAATTTTTGATTAATAAACTCAACTTAAAAGCGAGCAATGGCAACACTCTACGGGGGGAAAAAACCCCTTTTTATCTCCAGCGCGCGGAACTGTGTATGGGAAATTCAATATACGCTCATTTTAAAATTATTTTACGACATTTCTGTTGAACTGAATTTTATGGTTTAAGTGTGAAGTATATGATATTTAATAAATAAATGTACCAAAAAAATGTTAATAAAACGCCCCTTTGGACGTAATTTAAAATCTGAAATCTTTCAGATTTTTTTTTTTTAATATAAACAGTCTTCATGTCAAAGGCTGGGATACATATGTCTCAGCCGTAGTTAATGGTAGGATACATATGTCACGCAAGTAGCGATGCATTGCGAATTTTAAAGAGTATAATAAAGGGTACTTTTAACCCTTCTCCTGTAGTTTCTAAACGTACTTAACTACACGCACAGTTGTCACTTAGAAGAAAAGCAAGTAAATCTTATAACCTCACAAGCTGATTTGTTCTTGCACAATTTTTTATTTGTTTAATTTTACACCGAAAATAAAAGCTGCAAAAGATTCTTTTAAAGAATATATATAACATTTTAGTGCTATTGTAAGATGCATCTAAGAATAAGTACCCATGCTTTGAAGGGTTAACACTCACAAATATACAGAATTTGGAGAAAATGTTTACATATTACAAAATACATATAAAAGACGACTAAGGTATATTATTATTAACAGAAAATACTAATCGTATTTAAGTAGCTTAATTTTCACAAGAAGCTGAATTGATTATATAGAGAGAGATATAGATGTTGGATATAGATATTAAATCAGAATTCTAAAGAAGTTAACTACACTTAAAAAGAATTATGTTTATCTTTGTTTTATTCCTGCATTTGGACGGAAGTCAATAGGAAAAAGAAATACTGTTCTAAATATTCGCATCATAAAAGCACTCTCACACCAGGTCCGGATGGAGTAGATAATCAAGTGATTAAAATCATCTTGGCTTTTCTGAGTGCATGCTGGCGTCTCCGGTTTTTTCCCGCTGATACTAAGAGGACTGAACTGGCCCTTTTTCTAAAACCAGGAAAAGACTCTTTCCTTCCATCCTTATATAAGCCAGTTTGTCTCCTGCCTGCTCTGGGTAAATTACTTGAGTGAGTTGTACTCGGCAGACTCGTGTACTTCATTGAACCATCTAAAAGCATTCATCAGAATCAATTCGGTTTCAAACCAGGTATGTCCACGGAGCACGCATTAAGTCAGCTGTTGGATATAATACTCACTAACAAAATGGAAGATAGGCACACAGCAGTCGTATCCCTCGATATTCAAGGAGCTTTCGACTCGCTGTGGTGGCCCGACATCATGAACAGTTTGGATGCCCTCAAATGCTCTGCTTCCATAACACACCTGATTCGCAGCTATCTTGACAAAAGACAAGTTTTAATAACGTTAGACAGAGAATTGGTAAGGCAGGGTCTTAAGAGGGGATGTCCGCAAGGTTCCTGTCTTGGACCCGCTTTTTGGAACATAGTTGCTAACTCAGCATTCTTTGAAAACAAAGAAGGAGTAAGGCTTTTAGCATACGCAGACGACTTTTCATTCATTGTAGCAGGCCGAAGCGACCTTAAAACGCGAACTCAGGATAGCATTAATTTATTTGCTGACTGGGTGAGAGAGCATAAACTGAAACTCTCGGTGCCTAAAACACAAGCACTCATAATTAGTCGAGGCTCTCCATTACGTAGAAAGCCCTGTCTTAAACTCTTGGGGTCCTCTATTAAATGTGTTAAACAACTTAAGTACCTAGGAGTAGTAATAGATAATAGACTTTCTT